GTCGGCAGGGGGTTGGGCTGGGTGACCCACAGAGGTCCCTTCCAACCCCAACCATTCTGTGATTCTGTGGGTGGGGGGGAGACTTCGCAGGGATTAAGCAGAAAGCAAAGGACTGACTGTCAGAGGCCCAAGGCAAGAACACACCCAAGGACATGTAACTAGCACATCCTAAAGCAGTGCAGAGAAACCAGCAGACACCAAGAGAAGGAACCTGAGCAATCCACAGACTTCTCAGTGAGCCAACTCATGAGCACATACGGAAGGAAAGACTCAGAATTCATGGAAAGGACACTAAGAACTCCCACCTCTACAGGCACCAGGGACCACCAGAGACCATCGCGAACCCCAGGGAACCCCAGTCCCAAAGAAATTTTCAAAGGCTGCTGTCATTAAATATTTGGTAAAACTACATTAGAAGATTGCAGTCTATTTTAAAATATCATTGTATGGCATTATCCTTGTTTGACAGGGCATGCTCAGCGTTTTGGGGAAAAAAAAAAAAGAATCCTAGGTATATGAAAAAAGTAGAAACCACACTTCAGAAAATGTAAATACAAAATAATAAGTAGCATCAATTCAGAATAGCTACTGCTACCCTTTTGTACCATCATGAGGTCAAACTCATTCGTTATTAGAGTGTGTTCTTCATCTTCTGTTTGATTATTTTGATTCCCCAGAGATGCTGGATAAGTAGACAGCATAAGACACTTGCTTTATTCCCAGTAGTTAAGCTTTACCATGTGGTTTGCCAAATTATTATGTACAGAGAACTAATCTCTAGATGCAAAGCTACAAGCCTGCAAGGATTTAAAGCACAAGCTAAAACTATGTGCATTACCGTTACTACTTATCTGGGACATGACTGCACAAAGATAAACAAAATTGCAAGTCTTTGACTAGGCTGGGACTACTTCTCTCAATTACTGTGTCCTTTTCAAAATACCTATTTAACTCTGATCAGTTAAAGAATAAATGAGTAACTAGGTGATCTGTCTGCACAGCTAATTGCTTGCTTACAAATATCTGAAGGGTGGGTGTCAGGAGGATGGGGCCAAGCTCTTTCCAGTGGTGCCCAGCGACAGGACAAGGGGCAATGGGCACAAACTGAGGCACAGGAAGTTCCGTCTGAACATGAGGAAGAACTTCTTCCCTCTGAGGGTGACGGAGCCCTGGCCCAGGCTGCCCAGGGAGGTTGTGGAGTCTCCTTCTCTGGAGATATTCAAGACCCGCCTGGACAAGGTCCTCTACAGCCTACTGTAGGTGACCCTGCTTCGTCAGGAGGGTTGGACTAGATGACCCACAGAGGTCCCTTCCAACCCCGACCATTCTGTGATTCTGTAGCAATCTTGTTATCACTGACGTAGTTTATATACATAGCTTTCAAACCAAATGTTGAAAAAAAAGTTTTGTGACACAGCGTGTTATTGATGGAAACGTTGCAATCCAGTATCTTGGTGATCAGGCTTCTGGTTACAGAAAATACCCAGGGATGTGTTTAAGCCTTGCGGTACCCCCAGTGGAAATAAGGGCTCATAAAGGCTTCGCCTTAATTGCAGTGCACTGCAAAGTGCCACATTCTTAAGGTAGGTTCTCCTTTGAGCTGGCCTTTCTCCAGCAGAAGTTTCCCGCCGCTCCTCCTTAGGGAAGATGGCATCTGGAGAACGTGGCTTTGTCAGGGAGTTGGTCCTGAGCTCTCAACAGCTACAGAGCGATTCTGTTACTCAGGTCGTGAACCTGTAACCCTGCCAGCTGAAAGAACAGAGAAGATCCTGACAGTAGCCATCGAGGCATTTTCTGTTCCCATTCATCTGCGTCTTGTCTCCAAGCAAGCATTGCATTTTCACTAGCGTGGGCTTGTTTTTAAGTTTGCCATTCCATCTTGTCAAATGTTACATGATTCATTTTGGGTTGGTTTGGTGAGTGGTGAACGTTCCTTTCCTTGAGGGATGGCACGCGTACTTACTGCAGTGCTGGATTGCTCTGCAGGTCAGATCCATCCCCGGTGTAACTGGGATTGCTGGAAGCTCCCAGGGCATGTCTCTGCTAAGCTGGCAGGGCTGGTCTGTGTGCTGGCAGCAAAAAGCAACGCGCGTGGAGAAAGTTCTCTGGTGAGTAAGGAGACAGAAGTCTACTGAGTGACAGGACAGCAGGGAAAGAACCTTGGAGGTGGCGATGGCTTTTCATCAATGTACAAGTTCTGGTTGTCTTCTAAGCAGAAAGTGAGGGAGAGGGGCTAAATTTTACTTCTGCCATTGCAAATCAGCAGGGCGAATGTTGCTATCTCTGTCTGGTAGGAGAAGGAACTGAGGAGGAGAAGTGATCGTCCGAAGGGGCTACCAGCCACGCGTGGGCAAGGTGCTCTGGGGTGTTTAAGCACCGAGGAATACCTTTGCAATGTCTGGTTGATGCTTTCTTCTCTTTAGTGCAGCTGTGGTTCGTAAGGTAAGCTAAGTTAGAGGTTGTTCCAGGCAGCGTTTCGCTGGGCGAGGAAGGCGTTAGGGTCATTCCTGC